TGTCTGCTTGAACATACCCTTTCTATTCACTGTGGTCCACTCCCATGAGACAGTGGAGAAGGGAAGGCATGTGCTATGGGCGTGGTGTGCCTATCTGCTAGGCCCAAGGCCCTCTTTCCTCTGCTATGTAAGGAGCTGGTTGCTGCCACTGACCCAGAATTCTCATCTGCAGAAATGTGTGCTGCAACAGTGAATAGACAGATGGGGCAGAGTTATATTTTCCTTTGATTCATCTCTGAAGGAGAGGGTTATTAAGCAAATTAACTTATTAAATTAAGAGCCTCAGGGGAAAATCACTTTTTTATTGACTTTAAATATGTCATATATAGTATGTTCATATTTTATGCAAACTTAAATTGTGTGACTGTGAAATGATAAAACATAAAATACTAATAAAGTGTCACTTATGCATACTATTTGAAGTAATATTTATCCCCATAAATTGCAAATCAATTTTTAAAGAATTATATAATTTAGTAGGCCTGTGAAGGGAAGCCGTTAGCCTTCAGGATCACATTCCCAACATAAAATAAACATTCCCTTTAAAGTTATTCTGCTGGGCTAACATATGATAACTTAATTCTGGTTGCTGTATGCAATTAAAGCTAAATGAAATTAATCACATTTCTTTCCAAAATTGTGTAATTTAGAATGGAAGAAAAAGTATCCAGTGTACTCAGTACTATTATGCAACCAATAAATAATCACCCACACTTTCATACAAATGATAAAACGCAACAGCCCAGAATGAAGGAGGGAAGGGAGGGGGGAGGCTGTGTGATGGGAGGGTAATTGGTGGGACATTACCTACTGTGCATAATGCAAGGGTATATGTCAAATCTATTAAGAGTAGAGTATAAATGTCTTAACACAACAAATAATTAAGTGAGGTGAAAGCTATGTTAACCAGTTTGATGTAAGCATTCCAAATTGTATATAAAATCTGCACATTGTACCCCATAAGTGCCTTAATGTACACAGTTATGATTTAATAAAAAATCGTATAATTTAGAAATCTCAATAATTTAGACTTATCCTTTCCCACTTAGTCCAAATCATTGATATGCTGTATGACCACGTAGGACTGCATGAATGGAGAGAAGCTGCTGTAAATCTTTAATTTTATATCATTGGAAATTAAGTAAAAGATTCTTCGTACTTATTTATTACTTAGTAAATCTCCATTAGGAAATACTTTATCATGCTGCCTGTTGTGAACTCAGGGTTTTCTGAAATATATCCTGTGTTTATTGGTAACATGTAAAAACAACGTTTTATCACATGAATTTTGCTTATCAATATGTGGAAGAGTTTTTATAAAGATAAAATTTCCTAGCTCTACAATGTCTATAGTATTGTGGTATACAAAAGAGTAGTTTGTTGTTTTGTTTTCTTAAATTTCAGAATATTGTGGGGGTTTATAGTATATATGTTTTGGTTACATGAACTGCTTTTGTACTGTTTGAGTCAGAGTTTGTTATTTTACCTGGTGTAATGTCTCTCAAACTGTAGCATATCAATCTCTAGAACTTGTGGTGGTCTACTAGAAAATACCTGAAGCCATATGCTAACATGGCATGTCATTCCTGGAGTGTCAATTTCACTTAATGATTTAGGGCAGAAAACTTTGATGTCTAGACTTTTATGAGGTCTTACCACATATCCACAAATTCCAGTTTTCTAGTAGAGCCAATCTATGTTTTACCTGAAAGTTTGAGGTATAGGAAATGTGATTTATGCTCAGTGAGTGATTTTGGAAAGATTTGGATATTTGGTGTTTTGGAGGAACATAGTGGTTTGGCCAAAATGAGTACAGGAGGACTGGTTATGTCATGACACAGGCCCCGCAGCTAGTGCTGGACAGCTAAAGAACCTTGTATATACCATACCAAGGCCAGTGAGGTTGGTTTTTGGAGAGCTATTAGTTGCCTTGTGAGCCATCACTCTTTAACCTTTGAACTCACCCATGATGAACAAGAACAGCCTTTCAATTTATACTAATAAGAGGGTGAAGGAAAAAAATTTAGGCTCCCAGGCTTCCATGTCAGACAAAGAGAAGGATATGTTCAGAGACTTGTGGCTGGCAGGAGACCAGGACTCGATGGGGGAATGTTCTCACGGGAGGGGCAGTGTCACACTCTCAGTGGGATCAGGGCCCAGGCCCAGTAGGGCTTTCACCTGCTGCTCTTTAGGAGGCAGGTTTTGGTGATGATGCTGTGGGTTGCATAGCACGCCCAGTCCTGACAATGCAACTGCAGGAGAAATCCTGTACCTTCATGACAAGGAGACCAGAATGGAGGAGAAGACTCACAAAAGAGTAAAGAATATTTTTTAAAAACCTTATAATTCACTTCTGTTTATTCATGCTTTTACTTTGTGTGACTCAAAATGTGTAGTATTGGGTGGAATAGTCTCCTTCTGTCCCCCGTTCCTATGACCAAGTCACTATGTGACTCTGGGTCAGATGTAGCACTTCTAAATCGGTTATCCCTTCTGAGAAAGGGAGATTCTAATGATACCAAGCTTACAAAGTTGTTTTGAGGATAAAAAGAAACAATGCACATGAATTTACTTCATGAACTTCAATCACCTATTCAGGTAAGAGGCAAAAAAATTAGGAAGCTTGGGCGGTGCCTGTGGCTCAGTGAGTAGGGCACCAGCCCCAT